CGTCCAAGATCCCCTTCACGAGCCACACTCGCAGCGCGACATTTGCAACAACGTCGCTAGAATTTGCTCCTTTAGGGCTTACCTGCTAGAAATAAGCTCTTTCAGTATTTCACTAGAAAACGTGCACATTATAATCAGCCCAGAAGTTTCGTCTGAATTGCATGTGTTTTTATTTTCACATGCAAGACTTGTTGCACTTATGAATAGAATAACTTTCCGGCATCAATTCTAGTATGGTAAAACGTAATTACACTTTCGAAACGGTCTGTTTTGCCCTTGCCATCATTAGTTGAAGCTGTGTATGAACAAGAACGGCTGCAGCGTGTGAGTTGCTCCATCTCTCACGCAGCCAGAGAGAGATTCTCCTCTCCGGCGTTCCACAACAACGCTTAGCTGCCCGCAGATGTGCCTTGCCTATAAATCGGCCTAATTTGCAGCACAATCGGCCGATGCCGATTAATTTAAAAATGCCAAAAATCGGCCGATTAATCGGCCGGCCTATCAATCGGTCGATCTATATATATATGACATTCTCCTTTCAGACGAATACAATCGGAGTTATATTAAAAAACATCCTGGCTCTTTCAAGCTTTATAATGGGAGTGGATGGTAGCCCAAAATTTGAAGTCCAAAAAATTTAACCAATCCATTATAAAAGAAGTCCTCACGGCTCCGGGGGGTTAATAAAGGCCTTCTGAAGTGACGCGATGCGTTTGTGTAAGAAAAATATCCATATTTACAACTTTATAAACCTTAATCTCTAGCTTCCGTTAACTGGCATACACGCATTCACGAGAGAGTGGCGTCCAGCGGATGACTTAGCATGTAGGAAAACGCAGTGATGAACGCGGAAGTGATGACCGTGGAAGCGCAGAGGAGAGAGCAAAACAAAACACCGGTCACTTGTAGTAAAACTGTGGCAATACAAATGGAAATCAGTACGCGGAAAAAAATACTATTTTTTTACTATATTTACTATAGTAAAACCATGGTAAATTTTTGTAAGGGTGTTTATCAGTCAAATTCATTTTAAAAAAGTAAACAGGTATGAAATATGATCAGTAAGAGAAAAACATTGTTAATAAGAAGACGAACTTGACTGCAGCAGGTTAGTTGGGAAATAAATTTATTTATTCAGAATGCACATTTGGAAGGTAAATATTTTAATACGAACATTTCAGCAGGTGATATGAGATGTAGCCCTAAACATCCTCAGTTTCGAAATGCATACTCCACGCGAACGTGCTCCCGCGTAATATTTTAGAAGGACCTTAATTCATCCCATCGCATCTCATCCGTGTTGTGTCAGGAAATCGTGAAAACTGAGGCAGTGTGTCGATGTTTAGAATAAAAGCAGCCAGGTATGCTGCAGTAACACCGGCGAAAGAAAGGAAAGAGAAGATTCGCCCATTAGTTTTGACTGCGTTGCGATGGGACCGGAAGTGGCGATACAGTGCTTCACTTACAGGATATAGGAAGTGTGATAAAGGTCCATTGCCAAATTGTTTTCATTGAGGACAAAACATAAACCTAACTAGATTTTGTTAGATTTATGCATGAAACAGAAAAAGCAATTTGCCCATTTGTAAAAAATAAAACAACTTTTAATCCTTTATGCAATTTTAGTAAATTAGATTATTTTAAGCTGTTTATATATTTTACTGAAAAAAAACTGATACGGATTAAGAAAATTAGTTTTTGAAACACAGTGCAATCAATTTCATGAAACAGCAGGAAATAATGCACCCTTTATTTGGTTCTTATGAATACTTGTGCCTTGTTTTTGAAGTTCAGACAAACAAAGAGTACTCTCTTTTGTTAGAGCACCAGCCCACTACAACATGTCTTTCTTTGTTCTTTCTAGTGAATTAGAGATGTGACACTTTTTCCTCATTCACAATACAAAAGAACAAACTTTGGCAGGCCTAACTCAGATCAGATTTTTTTGCATGCAATTTAGCTGTCATCATCATCTCTTTTTATGAGTGTTCTGAATCTAGCCAAAGACAGATGTTTTGCAGCAGGTGTTTGTGAGCCCAAATCTCTGGCTTTTTTTATTTAGCAGATGCACCAAAACAGGTTTTAGGTCAGTTGTTCGAACACCTGTGGCCTAACTACTGGCCTCCTCGGTGCAAGCATGACAGGTCTCAGATCAGAGATCCAGAGCACTGAATACTGTTGAGTGTGGATCCATGGGGCTATGAAGCATGTCAGAGTGTTACAGTCTGATCTGGCACCACAATACAGCAAGTCGACAGCGGGCCAAAGAACTAACTGCTTCTTTCACAAACCACCACAATAATATACTGACAGGGCAAGTTACATTCATTGAGAAGAAATGGCAGGGAAGGTGGGTGGCAGAAAAGCGAACAGGAAGGACGGAGCACATGAATAGAGTTTAATAAATTCTCCAGGCATGCTGGTGGGACAGACAATTTAGTGTGTTTACACTGCATTGAATTTTAGAAGATGGATAGATTAAAATATTAAATCAAGACTACATGTGTACAGTACAATTGTTCTTTGCCCGTCAAGTGTGTGTGCATAGTTTCAGCAACAGCACACGTGAACATGCGTGCCACACAATAATACACATAGAGAGATGTTAAAGTGGGAAAAGCAATTAAGTTTAAGTTAGATGGAAAGATTGGAAAGAGTCCCAAAGATCTGTTCCAGCTCAATCAAGCAGTCCGAAAACAAGCATATGGGTGATGAAAGCTCTTATCAGTGCATTAGAGCCCAGTGTGTTTGTGGGTGTGTTAATGTAATAGATTTTGCTGTTTTAGCAGTTTGTTGGAGGAGTCTAGCTGCCTCTCTGATATTTACACACTGTTACAGTGTTGAGAAATTGACTGTTGGTTCTTATAAATGTACCAGCGTCTCTCAACTTGCCTGTCAGAGGAAGTACAAGTTCAATATGTCAGACATACACTATACTGTTCAAAAGTCGGGAGTTTGTAGGATTTAAAAAAATGTTTTTGAAAGTCTCTTATCTAATGTAATTTCAATTTAAAATAACCATTTTTATTTTAATATATTTTAAAATGTAAATCATTCATGTGATGGCAAAGCTGAATTTTCAGCAGCTATTACTCCAGTCTTCTGTGTCACATAATCAGTCTAATATTCTGATTCTCAAGAAAAAATGTCTTATTATTTTCAATGTTCAAAAATGTTGTGCTGCTTTAAATTAGCCGATATAAGATAAATTGTTCTTGGAAGAATCTGATGACAAATGTTCAAGAAATGTGAAAATGCAAAGAAAAATCTCCTTTCCATTTAATGAGATGGTCCTCACTGCAGAACACAAGATCCAGGGGGCGTGGTTGGATCTAGATCCAACTCCTCCCACCTTACATATACCTAAACCTACCCGTCTCCACCCCTAAACCTACCAATCTCCACCCCCTAGATGTGGATCCAACCACGTCCCCTGGATCTTGTGTTCTGCAGTTAGGGGCTACTGCATTTAATCTCATTGCTTTAAGGGGAAAAGTTGAGATATTAAAGGAAACTTAAAATAAAAAATTAAAACCTTTATGTTTAGTGACCTTCATGTTGTTCCGAACCATATTATTTTCTTACTTCAATACTGTATGACAACTAGCAAATTTCAAGCCTCAAAAAGGACAAAAGTTGCAAAAAAAGCAGTCTAGATTTCTAGTGAATTTTTCTAGTGAATGACAAATTAAATTTCAATATGTTCCTCACACAAAGCTATTTCACAACTTCAGAACATTTAGAATATACTGCACAATGAATTTCATAGACTACTTTTATGATACGTTTGTATCCTTATATTGAAACCTGAAAGCCTCAGTCACATTCTTTTTGTAATTACATCGAAAAGAGCAGTTGTTTTGTCAAAATACACATATGTAATGTGCTTTACTGTACCTGGACATGAGCTAGAAAAGGAGACAGCAGTTTTTCTGTAGTTGCCAAGCAGTAATTTTGTCAAATTGAGTCACAGTATATTTTTTATTCTCTTTCTCTTTTCTTCTTGTCAGTCTTTGCCTGTTTGCCACATATTTTATTGGAGCATTCAGCTTTTTCCCACTGAGAAATGATTATGTTTTCTTTGACTGATCTAGACAGAAAGTGAATGGATGAATATATATGAAGTTGTTTCCTCGCAACACTTGAATACAGATACATTGACATAAGCCCTAATAAAATGTCATGTGTAGAACTCAAACTGGCAGTATTAGACGATAAACGACAGAGTTTATTAATACACCATTAAAAGATTCATAATTTGGTTTGCACTGTATTGACTGCAACTCTTTGTAGCCTTAAACTCTGTGTGTGTGTGTGTGTGTGTGTGTGTGTGAGCAGGTGCTGCCCCGTCAGACATGTGGTTTATTCACACACACCATCTTCTATAAAGAGTATCCGGGAGGCCCTAAAGAACTGGACAAAAGCATACGAGGAGGAGAGCTGTTTCTGACCGTCCTTCTCAACCCTGTGAGTGTAAAACACACAGACACACACACAAACACCGCTACTCCCTGTCGTCTCTGCTCATTTCATTCTATCAGCCTGTTGTATTGTTTTTCTCTGTCTTATTCTGTCCTCATGCCCCCTCCTCTCTCTCCCTCTCTGGGTTTCCATGTTAGTGTTGCTTATAGATTTGTTCTCCCAGCATGAATCACTGTTCTTATGTTGAAACTCTGCTCTGCTTGAATCAGCAGCGAAATGAAAAACAAGAGCGTGTGTGTACAGTCATGTATATGCGCTGTGTTTCTACGTTAATGCAGTGCTTCTCAACTAGTGGGTTGCGACCCAAAATTGAGTCACAGGTCTATCCTGATAGGATCATGGACTGCAGGAAAAAATGATAATGCATCTAACCATATAACAATACATAGTTTGGATAGAAAAAAAGAGGTTATTAAATTTTAAAAGGGAAAGAATGCTTCCCACGTATTTTGTTGTGCATGTCAAAGGTCATGCATCCAATTTTGACCCAAATCCGCTTGGTTTATGTTTGTTTTGTTTTGTTGCTGTGCTGTGCTGTTCTATTACAAATCATTATTGGTAAGTGAAATAAAAAATAAATGACAAACTTAAACAAAAATTTGAAATGTTGCATTGTTAACTAACTGAAATAAGCTGAAGTACTAAAATTACTAAAATTAAAACTGAAAAAGCTAGATAGATATATTACAAAGTGCATAGCAAAATTACTAAAACTTAAAATTAAAATGAAAACTTCAAAAATAAATATACAAATTTTTAAAAAATCAATACATACAATACAATACATTTATAAATACTACTAAAATAACACTGATTGTCTCATGTAAAATCCTGAAGAACCATTGTGGAGCATTAATGGATACTGTAAATGGGTTGACGAATAGATCGAGTACTGTATGTATTGTGAACTTCTTGCACTAACATCCTGTGCAGTCTTTGTGTATAAGGTATGAAAATGTAATGTTTAAGAGTCAGTGTGTTTGTTTGTGTGAAGAAAGCATCAGAGTGAATCTTCTCCTTTGGCTAAAGGCCATTAGTAAGGGTTGACTCATTCCCATGGTACAGCACTGACCTGAAAAACAAGCTGAATGTAATCAGAGATTTTGTGTGTTCTCATGTTCGCACAGATCCTGATCATCTGCTTATACCAGCAATAATAAACAACCCACAGAGAGAGGGGGTGAAATGAACATAAGGAGATATGGAGGTGTGAAGATGTAGTATATTGTAGTCAGTGAGTGTGGAATGAGATTGTTCACTTCACACTTACCTTGCCAAAGTCAACAGTGTGTTAATAGTGTGTTAAGTGTTTGTGGTTGTCTGAATAAAAGAGGAATCGATGAGAAAAAGATATTGAGAATAATTTTTCTTCTTCATAGTGTGGAACAGTATACTGTATTTAATTGTATTTTTAATTTATATTTTCTATTAATTATTGTAACAAAGTTCGTAGTCACGGGAAGAAGGAGGCGGGAACCGGCGAACACTTAAACAAAACTTTAATCAAATAAACAAACACAAAACGAAAGTAAAGCGGCAGCCCCTCGCGGACGACTGCCGCACACAAAACGCAAAATAAAATCCAGGCCTGGTCCTCTCTCCTCCGACACTGTCGTCACTCCTCCCTTTTATCCTTCCGGAGCTCCTCCGTGAGACTCGAGACCGGTGAGTGGTTTTATTTGAATACCTTTCTACAATAGGCACCCAAACCAAACTATTATTGAGCTTAAAAGTGCTGTGAGAGCTCTGTAGAAGCGCATTACCAGTAACATGATCACACATCTGTCTTTCTACATTAAACTCAAACCCATCACATACATACATTAATCTGACCGTAGGCTTTCTGATTTATTCATCACAGCCACATTCTTCTGTGTTAAAATGAATCACTGTTAACATGAAGACAGAGCACTACTTATTAATGACATACATCACTCTTCTCTCTTCTCTTCTCTTCTCTTCTCCTCTCTTCTCCTCATTGATTAAACATTTTATGGCAGTGATAAAAATGTTATTACATTGAAAAAACATTGGTACAACATTGATTGAAAAAGGAAAAAATTTCCACCATGCCTCGTGCTCTCTTTGTCTTTCTGTCCAGAGGGCTTTAAGGGAAACTCATTTATCTGCCCATTCATTATTGAGGTCCTCTCCCTGAAACGAGGTGTGTGTGTGTGTGTAGCGTGTAGTATGTGTTTGAGAGCATGAGGTTAACAGAGCATAAGATCAGTTACAGAGGGGAGAACACTGTGTTTTTGACATTCCATTTTACCCTCATTTATGCCCTTTCCAGAAAACAGGACAGTATGCATGGGGCGTTTGTTACAGGAATATTTTACACAAAAATGAACATTCTGCCATTACTTGCTCACCATTATGTTGTACCAAACTCGTATCCTGTTTTTTTTTCTGTAGAACCCAATGAGAAATGAACAGTCCTAAATTTATCTCATTATATACACTTATATCATATTATATTCCCCTTAGCCATAGCTCTCAGATCAAATATATATATATATATATGGTCCATTTCGTTAGGCTATATATATATATATATATATATAGCCTAACATAATGGACCATATGACTTTTAAGTTTCTGTGACAACAGGTTTACAAACACTTCTTATTGGAAATCTAGTGAAATGTTGTAATCAACTGTTCACAAAAATCTTGGAAACTGTGTGAATGTGAAAATAAACCATAACTAGTGCACATAATGCACATTAAACTCAAAGGGCATGCAGAGATGGAGTTTGCTGCATTTACAGTGACAATTTTACATGTGTAAATAGCAGTTCATGAGCTGTTCACGTGTAAATGAACACAATGCCTCACATCACGCTGGAACACTGGTATAGACTGTGCAACAGTCTATACACTTAATTAAACTGCAGCCTTTTGTATTTAATATGCACACTAAGCAATATCACAATTTTGATTTTAGTTTGATTGACATGCTTTGCCAAAGCTATGATGCAAAATGCAATGTTAACTTTTATGTTATTATGAGAAGTGTAAATATATTTTGGGTTTATCATGAAACTGTGGCAGGACCGATTAGACTGTGGCAGGTCATGCGTCTAGGTAAATTCATTGGAAAATAATTCTTAAGATATATTCTATTTTCCCAGGAAAAATACCAGAGGTTTGAACAACATAAGGGTGATGATTTTTTTTAACTGTTCCTTTAAGAGCAACACAACAAGTTCAGCTAAGATCATTATGTATGTTGATGTCAACTTTCAATTATCCTGATAATGGATGGTCATAGAACAGCAGCACTGAGAGAGCGACTATAAGCGGAACTAAGCAGTTTGTACAGGAAATGGAAGGTTGTCAAATCAGAGAAATAGAGAGAGGGAATATGTGTTTGTTTGTGTCTAAGCAAGGGAGAGAAAGCATAAAGGACAGAAAGAGAGGAATGACGCTTGAGGACAAAATTTTCCAGCTGGACTCTCCTGTTAAATGAGCTGATGGTGTGTGTGTGTGTGTGTGTGTGTGATTCTGAGTCTTATTAAGTTATGCTAGCTTAGGGAAAGTTAGAGAATGATACAAACAACAAAATGGTTGTTCAGCACCACTAGTTTTTGAATCTATATTAAAATATGTCAATACATTTAGCCGTGAATGGAACAGCTGTAGAATAGCATCAGAATATACAAACATGAAAATTCTACCCCTCTTGCATTGCTGAATTGTCCAACCTTTATGCATGAAATGCAAAATCACAATTTTTGAAGAACTGTACTGGACTGCGAAGCTTTTAATCATTAAAAAATTATGGCAAATCATGATAAGAGTCCAAGTCTTTTGAACCCATGAAGTGAATATAATTTTTTTAATGAAACTGGTTGATCTACTTCAAAAAGGGCCCTATTTTAACGATCTAAGCGCATGGTCTAAAGCGCACGGCGCAATTGAGCTTAGGGTGTGTCCGAATCCACTTTTGCTAGTTTAAGGACGGGATAAATGGTCGACGCACCGGGCGCATGGTCTAAAAGAGTTTTCCCTATTCTCTTAATGAGTAATTGGTGTGTTTTGGGCATAACGTGCAATAAACCAATCAGAGTCTCATCTCCCATTCCCTTTAAAAGCCAGTTGCGCTCGCGCCATGGCGGATTCGCTATTTACATGGCGGAATTTACAAGCGGAAAAACTGAACGCTTCTCTAGTGAGGGAACGGATCTGCTTGTGCGCGTAATTCTGAAACATGCAAAGACTATCCATTATGACATGTAGGCATTTTTATATTTATGTACACAATAATAATCTTTTACATTTTAAACCTTTAATTTTTCATTTAAAAATTTTTTTGTGTGCTGCTGCGCATCCCTGTGTGTGTAATAAGCAAAGTGTACGCGCGTGTGAACCCGCCTATAGGCGCATATTACCAACGCGCTCTATCATGAACCCTCAATCATGAATCAGACTGACTTCTGGAGAATTCTTCAGTTCAGCTCACTGACTGTGTTCTCAAAAATCTGGTTGCAGCAGTTAACAGTTTTGTAACAGTTTTAGGTGAACTGTTCCTTCAATATTATATGTTGGCAGAGGAAATGTGTGTGTGTGTGTGCGTGTGTGCGTACGTGCGTGCGTGCGTGCGTGTGTGTAAATGCCATGGTCAGGCCAAGTCATTATAAGTACATGTGATAATCATGTAGCACCAATCTGAACAAGTAGGTCAAGATTAATACTACACAGAACAGAAAATCAAGTTGGATTTTGCAGGTGTACTGTATATGTAGACTAGAATAGAATAGATATTTATACTGATAAAATGTCTCCAGGTTACAAATGTAACCATGGTTCCCTGAGGGAACGAGACGCTGCGTCGGAAACGCTTTGGGAACGCCCCCAGCATGACCATGCTCTGAATCACATATGAAATTAGTCCAATAGATGGGCGAGACATCATGGGCGGGTGACGTTGCGACCAGGAAGCTATAAAAGCACGTGCAGTGGAACCGGCGTCAGCTTCTAGGA